CCTAATCTGTTTGGTTGTCCGGTTGAAATTAACGCAAGCTCTATGCCCATTGTAGAACAGGAAACAGAAGTTGGTCCAGGTTCTGGTCAACCCAAAATTCTGATAGAGAGAGAAACATGTTTTGTCATTCTGCCACCTCTAATGCTTACAGCAAGTAATCAATACCTCAGAAGGGTTCATGTACTGTAAATGTAGGCTACGGTTTGTTAGCTGTTTGCTTAAACTACCCCTATAGCTATGTTGCCGGCTAGCAAACTCAGGCATTGCAAACAATAACGTGATATCAGAAAACTAGAAATGTATAACTCACCTGACACTGTGGCGTACTATTCTCTTCATTCGAGTCTGTCATGTCCTGTCAACGATGGATGTGTAATAAGAACGTCAACACAACCGAAAATCCCTCTCTCATCTCAGATAGAAGATATGATTAGAGACGACCAGCCAATAAGAATTGACCTTCTCGAGTTCTCCGATTGGTTGGTTTTGTGGCACATTTGTAACGCTATGACAACTTGAGCGAGCGCAGGCAAAGCTGAGCGCGCACAGGGTGGAGAGGTCGAGCGAGCGAGGGAGAGAGAGCGCGTGCAGCGGTCTGCTTGCGCACGGAGCAGAAGTTTTATGAGAGAAAATATATGTGTCTGTGCTCAAAATTTTTCAAGTGCACGCTCAATAGCATTTTCTATGCTTAACATGTTTCATAGCGTGCTCAGGATAGAGGCACAAATATAACGCCATATTTGTGTAAAGTTTCAAAGTCCCAAGTAATTTCAAATGTTAAGGCTTCAAGGGTCTACTCATTATTATTTTCTACACTTGCTTGGATGAATATAAACTCCCCTAGCATGAGATGATCAAATGTCTTATCCTAAAAAGATTGAGGTCAGTGAAAATACTTTGAATAGATAATCACAACGAAATAATTCAACTGTGGCTTAAGAGAATGTAAGTAGGAAATGTCCAACAACTACCATATACTGTATACTGATGTAAACCACTGGAGAAGCTTCATTTTGAGAAGTGTATTAATTTATCAAAAAATACATTCCCTTTCAGATGATGTGTCAATTCGGGGTCAACTTCAGCAGCCATAGAGCAGTGCTTTATTTTGAAATGTTCTGATTTGCATCTAGGTTGCTTCCCCCCCTCCCCTGAGTTAAAACAATGTCTGATATACTCTTATTACATTTCTGTAAATCTAAATGACATAACGGCGACATAACAAAGTTATCATCCACACATTTTACAATACATGGATTTGTATATATGTACTGGGATAGTTGTAATGTTCATTGTTAATATTCAGCCTTGGGAAATTCAGCGCTGAGCTAAACATGTAGCTACAAAATCTGCTAATGTTGGCTACATGCTCACTATCAGTAGCCTATATCATAGGAAAAGTCCATGTCTAACTCATCAACTCTCGGTATCCTATGGCTAGCCTGTGGCTATTTTTAAATGTGCTTTTCTCCTAACTGAGATCATATAGTTCTCTTATACTTCTGACAAAACATTAGACAAGAACAGGGAGAAACGTATATATTTTTAACAACCAGGGATAGATAAAAAAAAAAAGGGCATAGACAATAAATGGTTTGTGTGGGATAAACTTTCTCTTCATGCTGCAGGTATGCAAGGTGTTTGTTTTCCAATTTAAAGCCTCTGTATTTTCTCTGCTTTAAAGCAAAAAGGTGGCAGAAAGTGTATTTACGTGGTCAAAATTGCACAGTTTTCTTAACTTCCAAGATCACCTGTCTTTCTACAACCCTTATGGCTTTTCAAAAGGATGGACTTCTGTCAGCCTTTAATCTGGCGTCACTCTTTTATCTGGCTATCATTTTCTCGACTATATTTGTTTCAGACAGAGCAGGGACCCCTTTTTTTTTTTAAACAAGCCAATTTCTGGGACATTTACATTTTTGTAAACAACAACAACATTTATTTTGTGACCCTTTGCGTTAACACTGAGGACCGGATAAGGAAACATGGCCCTATAATGAAAACCATTTTTACTTCATTATTTTCCCTAAAATATGCATTTAAACATGTCATCTCCTATATTTGACACATTTTGTTGGCTTGGGTTTTGTCGTGGCTTGACTTCTTTTGTTTTTTTAAATCTGTCCGCCTTCAGTCTGTGTCTCCACTCTGTTTCTCTGAATACCATCATTATCTCACCCATACTTCTTTTTTTAAATCACCATCAACACTATTAATAAACCTCATTCTCATTCTCTCTGTGTCTTCCACTACTTCCTTCTATTCTTACAAATCTGAATTTCCAACATTTTGTATCCTGTTTTTAATTTTGTTTCTGGTAAACCCACAGTGGGTTGATTAGAGGGTAAATGGTTTTAGGAAGTTCAATTTAGACTACAGACTCCCAGAACAGTGATCAATGTCTACCAATTACATCACTGCAAGCATTTTCCCTTCAGAGATTCAGTCATTCTATAAATTCAAGGAGGACAAAACCGTTTTTGAAAAGTTCACTTACCAATTCCCAGAGTAAATTGCACTCGTTAAAACCATAATATATGAAAAGTCAATTATGTCTGGTGTGGCAGTGAGAGTGTTTTCCCTCCTGGTGCCATGTCAGGGTTTTATTTGTTCTTTCATTCCATTTGTTCAGTTTCTTTCTCTTTCATACACTTTATAGATGATTGCTTTTCCTTTTAAATAGTTTGCAATTTATTTAGTTTTATCCCAAGTTTTTTAACTTTTGTTACAATTACTTACCTTTATAAAAAAAAGTAATTTATAACCAAATATGAGTATCATAATATAAAAGTAATGTAACTTGATTACTTTAATTTACTTTGGATTACCTTAATATCAAATGCAAAGCAAAAGATACAGAGAGAAAATAAATAGCAATGCTTTGATTAGGTAAGACAACACAATAATTTAAACTTAAAAAAAGAAGAAACCAAGAAACTAAGAGTCCCTCAGATATTTAGAATCAAAAATATGTCCTCAGCTCAGCGATTTGAAAAATATGAAAAACATGCCGTTCATAGGCTTATTTGGGTAGTACATTCACCAACAGTGAAACTACTTTAAGAACATATAGGTTCTTCGTTTTCATGTCTTGTAACATTGTAATCCTGCTAGTAATTCCTAATTCTTTAGAAATGTAACAATAATCTGATTACATATTTGTTTCAGTTACTGTAAGGGAATACAGCTACTCTTTTTTGTATCCTGATTATGTAATCCCGTGACATGTAATCTGTTATTATGGATTCCTAGCCTGGTGGTAGAGTATGAACTGATTTAAGGTCATTGACTCTTAATAGGCATGTTCTTCAATAGGAAATCATTTAGGGTGTAATTCATTAATAAAATGGCCATCTTATTGATTGATTTTTTCATCCAGACTGCAGAAAATCACTATTGAATAATCCACATTTCTACAAACAAACCAGAAAAATCGATGATTTAGATTCAAACAGGCCATTATTAGTGGCACTGTGCCAAATGTGTTGTTCCAGTGCTGTGCAAAAAGCTGATCTTCCAACTGACTATCTTTTCCTGGTTTGTATTTGGATAGTGTCTGTATTCATTATGTTGCTTCTCCAGTACGTTTGTAACTGTCAGTAAAGTGGGGAAACAACAGCACAAAGAGAGCACCGAATAAGGAAGTGCGTTTTTATTCTATTTGTGGAACACTAGTCTTGTCTATTCTGCCAACCGAAGCCTCCATATTATCTGTCAATAGCAATTTGCCGACTGACGCCACAGCATGCATAAAGCAAGCAGGAAAAGTCTGAGACCTAAATTGTGAATTTCAGTTTTAATTAATAATCACAAAGCTGGCAAATGTAAAACGTTTCCTTCCTTATTTTAATTTACATCTTATTTGCACGACAGAATGCATATTGTATGAAACGTAAAACAGCTCCTTTTTCAGTCAACAAAACAAGGAGGCTATATGAAACGGATAATTATTTTTCCCAGTATCTGCTCTTGCATGCTGAAAGATCACTTTTTTTATTTAGGCCAACTTTGTTGAGCCCAAACGCGGCGCACCTATAGTGTAAGCGCGCCACAGTTTCGCCACTGCGAGTTTTTTCACAGACTCAGGAAGTTTAAACCAGAAAATACAAATATTACCATCCCAAAACAAATATGTTTGATGTACTGAATAGTTTGGTAAGGTTTAAGTTCTAATATTTAGTTTGAACAAAAAAAAAAACACAAATCCTGTCAATCACAAAATTTGAACGCTCTTAAGAATACGCTACTCTATCATTTATTTGTGGGAACATACTTACAAAATGAATCATGCTGTTCTGAAGAAAACTTTAACCTACCAACTGAGACTGTATACTTAATATAAATGTTTTAATGAAGTAATAACTCAAGTAAAATATTTCTTTCATATACTTCTATACAATTTGATCCCCGGCTAAAAGATAGAATTCAAGTTTAAAACACATCCGCATTGGCTTCACTTTCCAGAACCCCATACTTCAAACCTAAGGACTATTTTTATACATTTTGGAAAGTATTCTCAGTGAAATAACCACAATCAGATTTTTCTCATTCAATCCATTCTTATAATAGCCTCCATCCTTCCTCCCGATGTCTTTCAGGTTATGCTCCAGTCACAGGCATGTGCCACCCAGTCCGGAGCTGCACCCTCAACCATGAAGACGGCTTCTCCTCGGCCTTTGTTGTGGCTCACGAGACCGGACATGTGTAAGTTATTTTTATGTTATTTATTCTCTGTCCTTGTAGGTGTTTTCTGAGCACCTCTATACTCCATTACCCTTCCCTAGGGTACGCTGTGTTGTGACAGAAGAGAAGGGAAGTTATTCTCCCTCTGCTGAATAACACAGCCTCATAAGACAAGTGTGAATGTCTCCCCGGGCTCCGTTTCCATGTGATCTCTGATTGTGTGTGATCTCTGTGTTGGCCTTTATAGTAAGCAGACTGGACCTCAGCACCCTGACAGTGAACATGCCTTTATCAAATTTAAATGTTTGTTTATTGAACATATGTCCAAAAAATACATGCACTCTGAAACAGTTTGTCCCCTTTTTCCTTTACCCACCCTAGAATACATATTGTACATAGCCCCAGTGTAAAATGAGACATTGCCACTGTATGTACTAGGTAGGGATGCCAGAAACTGACCATGATCAAATTCGAAAATCGGACAGCCCTGGCGAATATTAATCGATTATTCGAATAATCGAATAATCGCTTGCATCCCTAGTACTAGGCCTCAAGAGCCTTTCTTGTGCTGGCAGACACATAGTAACATATTGGTGGGGCGCACTTCGCACACGCAAAATAATTCCACGCGCTCCGCGCTCACCTTTTGCTGGGCCCGCGTGCCTTAGCACCGCTGCTATGACTCCATCCTAGGGGAAACACTGTAACTCACACTACCTCAAACAAATGTCACTGTTGAAGTCTACACCAAAGCAACACTACTATACTATATCTGACTCACACACACACATGTGTCAAACACAACTGGAAACATATTTGAAGACTACGAATGATGGTAATCCAGAAATACTCACCACAACACACTGATCAAAATGATGACTGTATTTGCAGACATGTCACTAGGCAACAACTAGGATTCCTGCTGAAATGAAAGTATTTTAGGATGTGAAAATCTAATTTCCCTTGGTTATTTATGTGGCACAAAAAGGTAGAGACAGAAAGAATACTGGAAATGAATGATGAATGTGGATGTATTAAGAGAGCTTAATACAGGCTGTAATCACTTATTGTTTGCTACTGTAGTGCTCTACATGTAATTCATAGTCTCTCTTTGTGTTATCAATCTTTTAATTGATTATTATGTTTACAACATACAAATGCTACATTCAACGTTCATTCATTTGTTCAATTACATTTCCCTCCAGGTTGCTATGACTCAAAACATCATTTCAGATTTTTCCATTCTATATAAAGACCTTTTTACTTTCTTCTAATAACAACACATTTAGAATATATTTAAAAAAATCATGTTGACATTATTATTAACTTCAAAAAGGTATAAATGAACATTTAAACAGTTGGACTTTAAGGGGTTATAGCTCACAATTTATAGAGCGGCTGGACAGCTCTGTACATTCCTCTATATGTTCAGATTCATCCGATCAACAGCAGTTTTTGGAATTGTTACTTTATTGTCTGATCTTGTTGAAATTGAAATGACTTTAAAAAATGGGAAGCAAGACGTCAGAGTGAGAAACGACAAGCAGCTGTGGGACAGACTCAACAAGCTATGACGACAAAGACCCGTCCTGCTGAAATGTCCCCTACTGAAACACTGAATCCCTCGTTGCGGTTGTTGCTCTGCATCTGACCCTGGGGCCAAGTGAACCGAGGGTTTCATCTACAGGGATCAATACACCTCTCCTGAGGGGACAAATATATGAAAACAATTAGAAACCAGGAGCTCGACAGTACAGACACACAGCTGTTGTCAGATTCAATTATTGAAACATTTGAACTCCGGCTGTTTTTTTTGCCTCAAAAACATCTTTGGCCTGGTGAAAGCTAAAAAAAAAAATTAGTCTTGTATGCTCTTTTTGTATTCATAGTTCTTATTCTTACTGGCAAAACATTTGCATCACAAGCAAAAAGAACATTTTCTAGAGCTGATATAAAATCTGCAGAAGCTCTGCATCCTTTTATGCATGTGTGTAAAAATAACTGAATAGGAGTTTGTGTTGGTGACACTGGAACATACAGTATTGACGCCTCATCTACTGACATCTACCAAAGTGTTTATTGATGCTCACTATCTGTTGGCAGAACATGACCTCTCATTCACAGCAAGGACAGCACAGGATGTACAGCAGTGCACAATGGACCAACCCGTTTCTATCCAAACTTCTTTTTCCAGCTTTCTCTTGTTGGTCATCCATGTTACGTGATGATGGGTGACAACAGAGACTATATAAAAATGTGTATGAAAAAACACAACCCTAGCAAATGATACATAATGATTGACAAAACCCACAGGGGCTGCCTGCAGTATGATAATAATAATAATAATGGGTTTAATTTATAACGGACTTCATATCTGAGTTCAGATCCTCTTCAGGATCTGAACTCAGATATGAAGTCCGTTATAAATTAAACCCATTATTATTATTATTATCATACTGCAGGCAGCCCCTGTGGGTTTTGTCAATCATTATGNTGTTTATAGTCTACTGTTTGTTTATTTCATGGATATTTGTGTTTTCTGGTGTGTAATATTTGTAATCTTGGGGCTTCTTCTCTTTATTGTCTACATGCTACCACTGGCTCAGATAATGAAGAACAAAAAAGTAAGTTACCATAGCTATGCAGATGACACACAAATGTACGTAACCATTTCACCAGGAGACTATGCTCCAATTCAAACGCTGAGTAAGTGCATTGAACAAATCAATGACTGGATGTGTCAGAACTTTCTCCAATTAAACAAAGATAAAACTGAGGTAATGGTTTTTGGAGCCAAGGCAGAACGTATAAAAGTTAGCGCTGAGCTTCAGTCTGCAATGTTCAAAACAACAGATCAAGCCAGAAATCTAGGTGTAGTCATGGACTCTGACCTGAGTTTCAACAGTCACATTAAAACAGTTACTAAATCAGCTTACTATCACCTAAAGAATATATCCAGGATTAAAAGACTAATGTCACAGCAGGATTTGGAAAAACGTGTCCATGCTTTTATCTTCAGTAGACTGGACTACTGCAATGGTGTCTTCACAGGTCTCACTAAAACATCTATTAGAAAGCTGCAGCTGATTCAGAACGCCGCTGCTTGAGTCATTACCAACACTAAGAAAGTGGATCACATCACTCCTGTTCTGAAGTCTTTACTCTGGCTTCCTGTGTGTCAAAAAATAGATTTCAAAATACTGCTGCTGTTTATAAAGCACTGAATGGTTTAGGCCCAAAATACATTTCTGACCTCCTGCTAAATTATGAACCATCCAGATCTCTCAGGTCTTCAGGGACTGGTCAGCTTTCTGTCTCCAGAGTCAGAACTAAACATGGTAAAGCAACGTTCATATTATGCTCCAAATATCTGGAACAAACTCCCAGAAACCTGCAGGTCCGCTGCAACTCTTACTACTTTTAAATCCAGGCCGAAGACTTTTCTTTTTGTCGATGCTTTTAATTGAACTATTCATATCTTAGACTGCACTGTAACTTTTATCCATGTATTTTTTCTCTTAATGTTTATTTTATTAGCTTTTCTTTTTAATGACTGATTTTAAATGCCATTTTCTTAATGTCTTTCATTTTTTGTAAAGCACTTTGAATTGCCTTGTGTTAATAAGTGCTATATAAATAAACTTGCCTTGCCTTGCCTTGCCTAATAAAGATTTCATGTGACACATAAAATTGATTTGTTGATGGGAATTAATGTGAATAAATTAACTCTAGGTTAACGGTACTCTTGCTATCACTACTCACCGACACTATAAACCTTGTCCCTCATGCTAGCCCTGACAACACCGGTAAGCACACCTTCATCTAGGCTGCACTGTTTTACGTGTCCTGACTTGTAGTGGTTCTCTCCTATCTACACTCTCTTGTCATCTTTGTAAAACGATATCAGACTGGTAATTGACACAGCCATGACTTCTAGTTAAATTCAGTGTGGCTTAAAATGAAAAGCTTGTTAAAATATGCAAGCACGCGAAAGTCAAAGTCAGCTTTATTGTCAAAAATTCTACATGTGTTATACATCCAGACAATACTCGAAATATCGTTTCCCACAGTGTGACCATGTATACATAAAACAAAAAAAAAGGGCCTAGATAAAGTGGGTATACATTAAACAAAAACAAAAAGGGCCTAGGATAATATCGGGGTATACAGTTTAAAATTTAATATATTTAAAGTGTTCAAAGTGCAGTTTCAGTGCAAGTCAGTTGAAACGATCTTAAGTTGGCGTGACGTTGAAGTCGTGCGACCCTGCTTGCTGTATGGCTTGTAGTTCGTCTATAGCATAACGTTAGCATTTTGCTTCTGGCGACTAGAATTTATGATTCAAAAATTATAAAAGTTAGGGTTGACATGTGAGATTATCCGGCTGAACAAAACGTGATCCCTCTCCTTAAATTGTGTGTCAACCACAGACCTTATTTCGAGCTATTTTCCAAATCCTATGGAGAAAATTGCATTGGTTTTTGACGAAGGAACCGGAAAGAAGTTTACTTCCCGGTTTTATGACGGTCACTGCGGTTCTCTTATGTGCATATCAAGCACTTTGATCCACATTTTCCGACAGGGCAACAACTCAACCAAACGCTATGAATTGCTATCATTGGCGCCATGTTTCGAACGACGTTTAATTCATTTGATTCATGTACAGGTCTCTCCTTATTTGTTTAGCAAGTATCTCCTTCCAAAATGACCGTTGTTACTCACGATTTCACACTTAACATTAGCTCGCAGTGATTGTCAGACTTTCCAAACTCGTTTAAAATCCCAGTGGGCTCAAAAGCAAGTGACTGTATGTGTGTTAGCTTTGCACAGCTACATAACCAAATGCCTAAAAACCATTTATTAAGCGAGAACTATATATGCACCTATCCATGCCTGCTATAACAGACAGATTATTGACTATCCGGTCTCAACATGAGTCGGTTTGTGTTTATTATGTGTGTGTATGTTGTGCATCGAACAGGTGCTGTCTGTCTCTCTGTGTAGTGTTCTGGGGTGAGAGTGTGCTTAACATGTTTTGCATGTGTGTTTGCTGTCATGTGACGATTGCCACGCCAGAGTGCTCGCGTTACCTGCAGTGCATGCTTGCCAAGCTACTTGAGCCTTTGGAATTGAAGGAGCTGGCTTTGGTTTCAAGATTGCTGCCTATAATCACCCCCTGGTGTAGTGTCAAAAGAACAACTGAAAGCCAATTAATTAAGGTATAAAAATGCACCATAGAACCTTTTCATTGGGGGTCTATTAACAGTTCACAGGGTAGTTTAAACAAGCATATGTGAGTGAAGTGATGAAACCAAGATTGTTGTGGCTTTTAGGTACATGGGTCCTTTTATTACAGTGAATTTTATTATTTTGATGGTAAATCAATCTGCATTGATGTTTAATCTCTGCCTGACAGATCAGGCTAACACACTCCATCTCGCAAACCCATTCCCATCTTTTCACTCTCCTGTGGCATGATCATTAGCTCTTGCTCATCGAATCAGCTTTTTAGGCATTGAGAGTGCAGGAGGCGCTGATCTGTTTTTCATACTAACCTGCCTGTAATTCCTTCCTCTCGTGTCAAGCATCCAGACATCCTGATATGCTCACTATCAAAAATCCTTGCTAAGCAACCAGGAACCAGCCACCACCCATCTTCTATGTGTCATTCTTATATATGGCTTGCTCACATGTGACAAGCCATACACTGCCCCAGGAACAACTTTAGTACTGCCTTCTTATAAAAGGTCCAAGACTTCAGTGTTATTATTGACTATAACTCTGCAACGATATCCTATAGCGAATATCATTGGCCAGCCAGCTGGGCTATAGTTGTTGGTTTGGACACCAGATCAGCTGATTGAGGCGCAAACTTGTCAGATGGACTTCCAGCTTGTATGGTAAGGTAAATGTTACAAGTGTTATTGGTGTGGGGCAGTCCTTAGAACAGATATTGNAAATATTACACACCAGAAAACACAGAAATATCCATGAAATAAACATACAGTAGGCTATAAACAATTAAAGGGATAATTGGGAAGGCATTACAAATGTAAATATATTTTAAATAATAAAACAATCCCACCACCACAGGTATCTACAGGAGAAGAGGGAATTCTCTCCACTAAATGTGAATGCCCACGTGGAGAATGGAAATAAAGTCATGCAGCTGCATTAGCCATCTTTGCCATCCACAATTTCAGATGCACTGACACCCCTTGTCAGTGGAAGAAGCCAAAGGCAGCTAAACGTATGCATTCAGTGGAGGAGCTATTTCCTCCAACCAATAACTAATTTAACCCGCTGACAAGAGAGCCCACCTCCGAAGATCGTGACTGGCTGAGGGACAGACTCGGGGGCAGGTTCTCAGGAATTTCTTGGCTTCTCTCCCCCGAGCCAGAAGAGGAACACTACAGCTTGGAAACACTTACTGTTCCTGAAATGATCAAATCTGTTGGGCATCAGGGACCTGAGGCAATTGTGGCAAGCATGGCATTGTCTGAAGAGCAACAGAGGGCAATTCAGGTGGCTACCACTGGTCAGCGAACCAACCCAAACTGGCATTTGTTCAGGAAAGGAAGGTTGACTGCCAGTAACTTTGGAGCTGTCCTGAGGTCAAAGCGTGTGACTGCTTCCCTTATTGCCAGGGTGCTAGGGCAACAACAGGCCCTTGATGGTGTTTTGTCTGTACAGTGGGGGACTATGGATGAATGGGAGGGCGTCAGGGCATTCACCACTGCAACCCAGATGCAGGTCCATGAGTCAGATTTGTGGCTCGATTGTTGGGGGAATCTCCAGACGGTCTGGTAGGGTCTTCCGCTGTGCTGGAGGTAAAGTGTCCCTACGGAGCCAGGGAAATGACAATTAGTGAAGCATTGCAAATCAAGGGCTTCTGTGTCAGTAAGGAAGGAGAAACATTCAGCCTGCGTGAGGAACATCCTTACTGGCACCAAGTGCAAGGTCAGCTTCACCTCACTGCAAGAGAGAAATGAAAATTGTGAATTTTTTTAATTTACTATTTACTCGCCT